ATAATACCATATTTCTGGCCCTTATAAATAATAAAGTCACCCGCACTGGACTCAAACATAGTGTAAGTTATGACTACGACGAAGCTATAAGAAATCTTAAAAACAAGCATGTAGAAAATCTCCTATTTAGTAACGATCCTTATTTTGTTATTGAACAGTTAACTTATAAGCTTAGTGTTTCTCTTGAAAATTGTAAAATCATTAAGCCCATTCCGAAAAGCAAACGCAACATTAAGCCATGGATTACCCCTGGAATCTTGCGTTGTATAAAGAACCGTAACAAACTCCAACTTAAATCTCGAGCTAATACTCACGATGAGATCCTGAAAGTCACATTTAAGCGTTATCGTAACTTTTGTAACAATTTAATCAAAAAATTGAAACGTAAATATGAAAGAGAACTTTTATCTCTAACTAAAAAAAACCCTCGGTCACTTTGGAAAGCAATAAAATCAATAACTCATTATAAATCTACTAAAACAGATAACATCGAGCTGCTAAACGCACAACAATCCCCGGACAACTCTGTTAACTATGTGAATTCCTTCTTTGCTGGAATTGGTAAATCTCTGGCCGAAGATATCCTTGTCAAAACAATACCTAATAACGGCCACTCTGAGGACCAGGCTGACCGTGTACTGTCCTCATTTGCTCTGCTAGATACTGACCCTCAGGAGGTCAATAACATTATTATGGGCCTGAAATCGAATAGTGCACCTGGAAATGACAATATCCCTGCCAAGTACCTAAAATCGGTTAGAGATGAGGTAGCCCCCGTGATTAGTCACTTTATTAATCTCTGTTTCTCTGAAGATGTATTCCCAGAACCATTAAAGAAATCCATTGTAACACCTGTGTATAAGAGTGGTGAGAGAGACGTGGCCAATAACTATAGGCCTATCTCGGTTCTTCCAGTAGTATCCAAAGTCATGGAAAAAATAATTAATAAGCGATTGATAGCTTATCTAAATAAATTTAACATTCTTTCGGACTCACAGTATGGCTTTCGCCAGGGCAGATCTACTGAGGATGCTATTCTAAAGCTTACTACGACTATTACTAACTACGTAGATAAGGGCAAAAAATGTCTTGCTGTATTTCTAGACTTAAAAAAGGCATTTGATACCGTCTCTCTCCCCATCCTTGTACACAAATTAGAAAGAATAGGAATAAGAGGACAGCCACTAAAATTGCTGAATGACTACTTACATGGTCGAACTCAACAAGTGAGGCTTGGAAATTACGTGAGTGAAGAGGCCGATGTTACATATGGTGTGCCTCAAGGAAGTGTACTCGGCCCGACGCTATTTCTCACTTACATAAACGGATTGACTAACCTCACTGTTGAACATGGACACATTCTATCTTATGCCGATGACACGGTCCTTGTATTTGAAGGCTCAACCTGGGAGTCGGTGTTCGAGAGTACTGAACTGGGTCTTCGCAGGGTATCTGAGTGGCTAAAAAGAAACCTTCTGACATTAAATATTGCCAAAACTAACTATATGTGTTTTACTAAATACACAAGTACTCAACCACAAAAAGACGTCATACTTAAAGTACATACTTGTAACAATATAGTTAGTCCTCAGTGTAATTGCATGGAGGTACAGAGGGTTGCTTCTACCAAGTATCTAGGCATCATGCTGGATCAGCGCCTGTCGTGGCACTCACATATTGAATATGTAAATGGCAGAATTAGAAAACTGATTTGGCTTTTTAAAACACTAAGACACATTGCTGACAAGACATTACTTGACCAGCTGTACATTACCTTGGCGCAATCTATAATGAGTTATTGCATTGTCGTGTGGGGTGGCGCAGGTAAAACTAAGTTTCTGGAAGTGGAGAGAGGGCAGCGATGTATCCTTAAGGTGATGTATTCAAAATCATACAGATTCCCTACTAATGAACTTTACCAATCTTGTGGTCACCTCTCAATGAGGAAACTATACATTCTGTTGGCTGTACTAAAGGTTCACAGGTCCCTTCCTTATAACCCTCTGCTTGTGTCTCGTAGACGGAAAAATATTGTGGTACCACAACCAATTTCCAAATCTGTATTCGCTAAAAGACAATTCAAGGTAAAATCTACACTCTTGTATAATATTGTTAATGAAAAAATAAAAATTTACCACTTGAACTTGTACAATAGTAAAGCGGCGTTGACAGATTGGTTGCTGACACTTGACTTTGGAGAAACAGAAAACATAATCCCCACTTAATGTATTTACACACAATATCAATATAAAATCATATTTTTTGTTTCTCTACCTTATTATTCCATAATCTATAATGGTTGTTATTTTATACTTTGTTTAAGCTATAGGGATTTGTAGCCTGTAATGATAACGAATAATTAATTGATCTGTATTTGAAAGTTAAGGCAGGTTTTTCGGGAAAGTATAGAAAATAGAGAGTTACTTTAATATTTTTATATCTTTTTCTTGTATACATTTGTCATTTTCAACATTTATTAAATTAGTTAAGCTGGTGTGCATTTGTCATCTAGACTAGTTAGTTAATTTTAGTATACTGGCATCACCTGTGATGTCTAGTAAATTTATTTTGAATAATTTTATTGCTTGTTTGTGTTACCTAATATAATTAATAGATTAAGTTTGTTTCCTACAACTAAAAGATAATGGAAGAGCGGGCCTTCCTGTCACAGGTGGATGACACCTACTAGGAAGTCCCAACCTTATTTTAAGACGACTAAGAAAAAAGAAATAAACTTTTTCATTTTCATTTCATTTTCATATCAGTTATTCCATAGGGAAAATTTTTACACTTGAAACATTGACTTACAATTACATGGACGTCGGGTCCGCGCTAAAAAGTGTCCGAACTTATAGGGCGTTAAAATCGTATACAGAGCGTCATTCACGCTTTAGTCTTCGTTTGTTCGACTGACAGTGAAGCAAGCAAAATTAGACAGTACTGCGATGACATTACAATTTAAATTCAACGTTTTAGCTTTTTCATATTCCTTTACATGTCACTACGCTTAAATAGGTTGACTTGGGACATTTTTTTCGTGGTTTTTGTATTAGAACCGTCGTCCATTTATTTGTAAGTCAATGACTTGAAACGTCATTTTTTAAGCTACTTCTCGTTCACTACGCTGACTTTGGATTTACTTATCGTGATCGGCATGGAGTTGAGTTTAAACCTTAAATATCATTTATGACGTACTCAGGGTTAATCTAGTAGTAGTACCTAGTTGTATTGATGTTCCCTTAGCTTAAACGAATATAAAATGAATACTAGGAATATTTTCTTTTCAATATCGTATATATCTTTCTCATATCACGAATTGGAGACGATTAAGCCTCACGCTACAAACCCCACCACACCTCACTAATAACTCCTGTATTTTATGTGTTTTCCATAACGAAAGCTGAATATAAATGACGTGTTGGTCTCGAGTAGGGCTGGGAGATAATAAAAGAAATATAAAAAGAAATATTCATATAGTACTCGTACATGTACGTGGTCTAGAGTACGTAAACTTGACACTTAAGATTTTACCAGCTGTGAAAACAATAATATAATGAGAGGTCTAAAGATAAACGTATGTGTTACAAAACAATTCAACCTAAGCCAATGGAAGTTCCCGTGGATTGATAACTGTACGCTGAATAGATTTAGTGTTGTGACGGCTCTGAGGTTGTGGCACATTGGTTCAAAGAAGTTCATCTTTATGATGAGCATTACACCAACTCTACATTACATCAATTGCGGCGCTGTTGAAGACGTTTACCACGTTTTGGTCTAATGTGTTCGGACTGAGAGACTCAGGAGACAGTTGTGGAGTGTGGCCAGCATACGACAGACTGTGTAGTGTAACAGTATATTGGCCATTCCTTCGTCGAACGAAGCCAAGATACTGTACAGTGCTTCTATTTTCTCAATGTCCCTCGGCAAACTTCGTGTTTCGGCTGTCGTTGGATTTTAATCAGTTGCCCTTTGCCTTCGGTACAGACCGGACGCTTTCGATCGACTTGGCAGTATATAGAGTTGCCATTACATTTTTTATTTATTGTACAATGGGAGGAAAGGGGCTAATGTCGCAGGCACGACAGATAATCTATAGCGTGTACTTGTATTTTTTACAAGAAGCCGATACGTTCAAGAAAGACAACAATGGTTATTTTCAAAAAGTCCATCAACGTGTTTCTGAAGCTTGTGGTGTTTCATTTGGAACAGTAAAGAATATTTTAAAAGAATATGACAAAAAACATATATCAGTTCCTGAACATGTTAGTCCTTGGTTACATAAAAGAAGCACAATTTTTTTTCTTCATATTTTTGTTAACTTGCTTATTGACATGGAGTAAATGTTATTAATATAGGGAAATAGTTTTACAGCTCCATATAGTTCACACGGAAATCAAAACATAGCAACAACAAAGTACGTTGTTCAAAATTCAAATTATTATAGATTTTAAATCTAATAATTAATGGTTATGGAAATGAATATTCGTGTGCATTCGGAAATCTGATGATTGTTAAATCTGAAAATAGTTTTAATCTAGGTTAAATTCATAAATTAAACTACCATCTTCTTACTCAGTAATGCTTATTACATTTAGATCTAAAAATTTAAATCTTTAATTCAACTACATGTCCAAAATCAAGAACCAAAGTCTAAAGTGTCAAGCTTTGTCATGCTCTTGATTGTACAAGTTATAACGATATATCATACAACCTAGAGCCTTTCTGAATGACAGGATTTCTTTTTTTTACCAAATTATAATCAATGTGTTCAATCCTAATAATCCGAAGCTTACTGTAGTACCGTTAACGCGATACGTTATCTTCTATTATAAGAAAATTCCTAATTAATAAAACAAAATCCTATTTTACTTTATTAACATTAAACAAGACATTATAGTAGTATTAATTAAAAACAAATATAAAAAAAAGTATGACCCCCGAACTAGAGTCCATGTTGCCCAATTAATTATAATTTCTACAAGTGCTAACCCTATTCTCAGGGCCTCGGGACGTCGCGAGGGGAATGAAAGGGGAGCGAGGCGAAAAGGGCGAAAAGGTAATTACCCTGATGTAAATAAAAGAACTTGAGATTTTTATGAAATATAATGTTCGTGTGTAACAAGATTTTTTTATAAGCATGTTTTGTATTTTGTTATATTAATAACTTTTAAGATAAGAATTTTTTGTTATCATACGTTTAAAAGCATATACGATTTTGTTAAAATATAAACAATATCAATAGGAAAAATAAGTTGCTTGCCTTAATAGCTCAATTTGTGTTCTTTTGGCGTCCTTTAAACAAATTGTCTAGTATAAATGGCAAACTAAAAGTGGCTTAGGTGCGAAAATCGATGACAATCGTACAATTATGGTAAATAATTGAATTTTTTTACATTCTTAATTTTTTTTCTTAGGGTGAAAAAGGACTGCGAGGAATGGAAGGTCCCCAAGGTTTCCCTGGTAATGACGGGAGACCTGGTGATCGAGGCGACATTGGACCGTCTGGATTACCAGGAACACAAGGACCTCCGGGCTTGACTGGACCTAAAGGAGACAGGGGAGAACCGGGCCCTCCGGGTCCTATAGCTATAAATAGGGAAGAAGCTGCGATTTGGACAAAGGTAAAATGTTATAAACCTTTTTCTTAATGCATAAATATCATCGATTTAATTTTTTATTGAGTTGATATTCAATTATTTTTTAAGTGATATTACTCCATTACTTTGTTGTAATTATTATCGTATCGAAGGATTTTTTCTGAGTATTCGATCTTACAAAGATCGAATATTTTTTAATAATTATATTTTTAATAATTATCGATTTAACCATCATTCTCCATTTTGTAAATAAATTTAAAGAAAACATTATTTTTATAAATTGTTTATATGAAGTACGTGTGAACTGCTGTTCTGTTATTACATTTCAGGGATAAATTGTAATATGTCAATAAAAGAAAAAACAACTGCCTACTTAATATACGAAATATTTGCTTAAACAACAAATGTAGACAACGTTACAACGTTAATATACTTTTAATGTTTTATTAAAGATCGAAATACAAAAAAAACCAACATTGATACAGTATTCGTCTACATGAGTATCGTCCTCTCTTTGTATTATGGCCGTTATGACTGCGGAGTAAATATTTTACTGGAATAGGTATCGCATTATAATTATTATCTACTCATTTTAACATTAACAAAATAAATGGCATATTAGACACAAAAAATCTTTTACTAAATTAACGTACGTTCAATTATTATGTTGTATATAAACCGATAAACATTGAAATTTATCCTATTTAAAAATAGATATTTTATATACTTTTAACTTGCATTTGGCATAGGGTGAAAAGGGGGAGGCTGGACCAAGAGGTAAACGGGGCCATCCGGGACCTCCAGGCCCTCGAGGTCCTCCCGGTGTCCCGGGACCACCCGGAACTCCAGGCACCAATGGACCCACTGGCGACATTGGTTTACCCGGATGGACGGTAAGATAAACAACCTTTTCTGTCTTTCTTTGTTAAAGATGGTGGTATTTTAATAATATTATTAGTTAGCCCCACCCCATATTTAGTCCCACTTTTTTATGCGAGTTAGGTACGTCATGTGTGCAGATTTTTTTCAAAATGTTTTTCTTCACCGTAAAGCTCATAGTAAATTTCCAATTAAATTTTGTAAATAAATTCCAAAAAATCTTAAATACAAACCCAGATTTGAACCAACGACTCTCTGTTAGAGCGGCGGTAGGTCTACCCATTAGGCTACCACGGTTAAAAAGTATAATTGCATTAAATAATAAAGAAATTGCAATAAGCTTGATTGCATGATATAATACTAATAACACACTCACTCATAGCCCCTCACTCCCTAGTGAAACCCTTCCTTCCCTCACTAGGGAAACCCTTTGTAGTGGGTGCCACACACGAAAGAAATGTCTGTAGGCCATACATGGTAACCGTTTGGCCACTGAGGCAGTTAAAATATGTACTACTACTCTCTAATAAGTGCCTTGTCGATGACCTCTAATGAACACCAACTACGCCAACTTTGCTTTTTATTTCTTTACTTTTTCACAAAATTCCTTTTTTAGGATGATATTGAAGGAACTTGTGGCTTTCAGTACTGGCAATACATACAAATTATTTGTTGTTAGTTTCCACCTTAATAGATTTTACGATTTCTCTCTAATGAACATCGTACAATTAAGATGTAAGACGGTAGACTGGTGCCTACACTAGGTTGGACTTGTACTTATAGGTCACCAGTGCCTCTACCACGAGTTCACTGTGACGGTTAATTACTTCACAATTTGTATGGCAAATTACGTAGCGTAGTGGTCACAAGAAGATACAACATTTTGTATACAAACATTTTACGCAGTCTGTCAATGTAATCTCATGGTAGAGGCTCTGGTATCCACCACCGGATCCCAAAGATACAATAATAAGATGATGTCGGCAATAGTAAGACGTTAACGGTACATTTGCATGATAATAGGTTTATGTCTGAGAATTATGAGTATAAAACATGTAGGTTGGGTTGTGAGATGTACGTGTAAGACAAATTGTAAGTGCAATAGAGCTCTATCTCTAGCTAAAGAGCTATTTCTGCCACCAAGCGGTAATTAGAAAGGGTAAGGGGTGCTGGTGAAATTACAGGCACATAGAACTTATCAACTTATGTCTCAAGGTGACAAGAGTAGTGCAGTGTCTCACATAGCGTTTTAAACCTCTGAGTGGAACTGCAACTGCTATGGGTAGGCGTGTCGCTTACCACCAGGCGCATCACTTATTCATCCCGTTACTAGGCATCAAAAACAGCAATACTTCAACGATTAACTAAAGTTGTTTTAACAGTTCAATGTGATTTGAACAAAAAAAAATCCGTGTGTCATAGGGCCCACCTGGCGCCAATGGACAACCAGGTCCGCAGGGTCCAAAAGGCGACAAGGGTGATTCAGGACTGAGCCCGCTCGATTTGAGCAAGGTAATTTTTTCCTCAATAATACACTTCCAAAAATAGTAGATAAGTCTGTAAAAGAAGTAGATAACAGCTACTTATTCATTTCTTAGATAAAAGGCGAAAAAGGCGATAGGGGATACGATGGCACACCTGGAAAAGAAGGACCTAGGGGACCCCAGGGTCCTCCAGGTACGCCGGCGACAAACGTTCAATATATCTCTGTACCCGGCCCGCCTGGACCCCCAGGTCCACCCGGCCCCGCAGGGAGTCTCTTCGCAAATGAACTTCCCACCGATACATTGACCGATAGCCCCGGAGTTAATAGACGTGAACCCGGATCAGGTAAGAAAGGGTCATTTATGATAATTAAGCATTTCACACAAATTTTCTTTCAAATTATTCACAAAAATTCGTAGGAAATGTAACAAGAAAATTTGTTTCCAACAGGTAAACTTCGAGATTCTTTGCAAATTCTGAGGAGCTTAAACCATCCCATGCAATATCGCCCAGAGCCATATGGTAAGTAAATAACGTATAAAGCAAATGTTTGTGAGTCCTGCAAGTATTTTTACATTCCCTAACGGTTCCGAAGCTACAAAGCGTAGTTGAGTGTATAGTTAGTGGTTCTTTATTTGCGTATAATATTTACTTTAGGAGAAATTGGATTTCAGTAGTTGTTAGAAAATATATGTCTTATATCACAGGTTTCCGTGACCCGTTGGACCCCCTTGGGGAAAATACGGATTTCGAAGACGATGAGGATGGGCGAACTATTGTCGGGACGGTCATATTCAAGACCACACAATCTCTAATCCGTGTAAGTATCTACTTTATGAAGGTTTGTAAAGATACAATGGCTAACTCGCCTTGTGCTTTCATATTCCTTGCTAACAATGTTTTTCGTGTGTGGTAAGAAGATTAAATACTTCTTTAGGTAAATAGAGTCGTTATCAAAACATTTATAAATAGCATATGAAATGTTAGGTATTCTTTGGAAATAGCAAATTGTTGGTTAAATGAAATTCTTCAGAAATATTGAACTTAATATTGATTTGGCATGTGTACGAAAGTAATTTTTTATTTATATTTAAACACAATGAAAAAAAAATCAATTTAACACATATTATTTTAAATAAAAAATGTTTGTGCAAAAAAATTAGGAAAATATCTTCGATGAAAATATAATTTTGCCTACAGCTAGGAACGGCCTGCCCAGTGGGTACAGTTGCATACATAATACAAGAGCAAGCTTTACTGGTTCGTGTCAACAACGGGTGGCAATACGTAGCGGTAAGTGAAGAGTATTTTGATTTTAGTAGCGTAATACCAACTTTTAAATTCATTTATAAATATTGTACCATTACTTACCATAAAGGAAGTTTAGAACATTATCACGACAATATTTAATTTAGTATCACTGTACTGAAGGCTGATATCGTAAACCACGTTCTGACATTTAATACGTAATCAAATATATTTGAAAAATTGTGTGAGTGAAGTTTGGTATGATAAAATGAATATTGATGAACCTATTTTTTTAAATTATTTTGGACGCTTGGCCAGAATCCTGCCTGATATTAAGCGACGAAGTGGCCAACGATGAACAGTGCTACTATTTATTTTATATCAGCTGCCCTTTGCACTTGGTGCGGACCGGTGCCTTTCATTTATTGATTATATTTTTGTTAATTTGCTCGGTATGTTATTAAAGAGTAAATATTAGTATAAATATAGTTTTACAGCTCTATATACACTTGGAAATCAAAACAAAACAACAATAAAATACATAGTTGTAGTTAGTATTGATGGTAAATCTTCGGATGCATTCGAAATTCGAAGATTGCCGAGAGATATTCAACAAATGGTTACACTATAAGGCCTGGCGTCCACTGACGGGATTTTTGAGTGACTAAATAATTACGAAAATGTAGTTGCAATTTCAAATATAATTATTGTAGTTGCAAAATAAAGCTGCGGTACGCTTAGGCAGCCTTCGGGATGCTTCGGAAGGCCGAGGGCGATTATGCCTACACTCGCCCCGCATACCCGGGCGACACGTACGGCAAGACTGACCTGGGGGTCGATTCAGAACCTTACGATAACTCAGCTGTTGACCGATTCAATTCGAAATCGTACGATTTATTTTCATTTTTATACACAACACCCAAATCGAACGTCAAACTGTCATATTCGAAACTGAATCGAAATGACATTACACCCGATTATTCTAACTTCTCGACCGGCAAAAGCGACAAACGTTATTCAGAACACAGTTATCGAAGAAAGTTACCGAACGTCCTGTTGTTTACAAAGCAAGAATGTAATATGAAAATCTCTTATTATTTTAAATAAAGTCTGAATTTTGTTCAATTTTATTACTTTATTTTAATGCAAGACTAATGCATTCCTATATTTTAGGTCTTTAAAGTCTTAAAAATGTATTTATAAGGATTTTCATTTTTCCAATAATCTACTTCACCGACGAACTCCGTACACGTTGTTAGATAACGATATCGTATCCAAATCCGAATCGAACGTTTAACTCGGATGTTCGGATTAGCTCGGAAAACGCCCTTCGGTTCAAGAACGATATCCGACCGAACGATTCAGTTAAAATATTGAAGAGTTCTGAATCGGGGTCCTGAAAAGACCAATAGAGCTAGTACGACAAGGCGCGACTAGCCCAAGAGTGACATACAACGCAGGATGTTTAATGCGAGAATAACAATACCTCGCGCTTTATGTCGCTCCCACGTAAGTCGCGCCTACAGGTGCGAGCAGTATGTCGCGACGGAATACTTCGGCATGCCTGAGCACACTCAGCGCACACGCTTGCATGTAGGGATGCGGAAGAAACCTCTGCCGAGCCATCCCATCATTGGGCGCCGGGCCTAACGCGTTTGCCTGTACTCCGTTTAAAACGTAAACAAAAAAGCAGTGATCGCAAACCTTTTCCTCCAGACAACATATTAAAGTAAACGAAAAACGTCGTGACAATTGATGACAAATGCCATTTACAAGTTACACTATGTTATGTTATTAACTTTCTATAAAATTATAGAAAGTTTCTAATTTCTATAAGTTTATAAAACACTTAGATTAAATATAATATATTGATAGTAAGTGTTCACTTAATCTCTAATGAATACTGCGTGTGAAAGAAATGTAATACTTACATAATTTAATAAATATGTTTGAGAATTTCGTTTAAAGTTTTGTTTACAACACTAAAATAACGAAATGCCTATTCACACTTATTCATATTAGAAGAACAAAAAAACATTACGGAAATAAGACAAAAAGACTCGCTACTCTTAAAAACACAAGTAAACGAGGCTTAAAGCTTAGCAAAAACATCGTTACAATCCAACCGTGTTGGAATGCTCACTGCACAGCAGTTTATGCTTCAACCCTCGACTCATTACAACGGGGGATTTTTGGTATTTTTAATTACGTTTTAATTTCTCGAGATATCAAGCTGGAAATAACTAGAAGATGACACATTTTTTTTTATTTTATAAAATATCTTATCATCCGAGCTCGCACCTTTGAATAATTTTTCGGAATTTATGTGCGAAATTTAATTTAATATTTACCATGAGCTTGCTTGAGCGGCGAGGGAAACCATCGTAATAAAACCTGCACGTCGAAGAAAGTTTACAACTTTCGGAAAGTCCCCGAACCGCACTGGTGCTAGAGTGGTAGACTATAGCCTAAACTCTCGCCTGAAAGGAGACTCATGCTCAGCAGTAGGACTTATAAATGGAGTCGTGATGTAGCATCATACACGTACTACGAGTTTACCAATATTGTGTAGTATTATTGGTGTAGTACGTGATCATTACGTCACTAAATCTCTTGTAGTATATTTGTTGGAAGCTTTTCACAATTTGTATATTAAAATTTTTTTTTGCTGCGTGGGTTAGAGAAGAATACAATAAATAAATAAATACCTGTAACCTCAACATATATAAAAGCCTGGAGCTTTGAACTACAAATAGAATAGTGAATAAAATGAGATAAAGAATTTATTTTTATAACACCCCTTTAAGATTATTAGCTATTTTAGGGCGCGTTCCTATTATGTCGTGACGTCAGATAGTCATGTAGTTTAAAGTGTCGTGGCATATATATTTAAACGAAGTTGTTCTCACATAGAACAATACGATTAACTGTCGTTCACGTTTTTTTTGACGTTACGACAGTCTGTCGTAACAATGGGAAGTGCTAAAACGACGGTCGTCTAACGGCAAAAAAACGTCACGATAAAAATGTGACGACAGATAATCGCAGCTTTAAACGATTCTGTCATGCAAACGACAAGGCGGCTGATGTGAACCGATAAAATGTCGTCACGATCTAGTGGGAACTAGACACGACAGTCTTTCAACGATAAAATAACCGTCCACGACACAGTCACGAATGGTATGGTCACGACAGTCATGATATGGGAACTGGCTAGACGCGACAGTCGCCCAACGATAAATAAAACGTTACGACATAATGGGAACGTGCCCTTACTGGTTTAAGCGGATTTATTTTTACTGAATTGGGAGTTGCTTATTGAATAAATTTTTACGTCTTTGTACAAATAAGCCCGTTCAACGGTATTTACGGCTATAATAATAAATAGAATAAATGCACAGCGACAATTTTAGTAAATGTAGGTTTTTTTAAACAGATGGGATCCTTGCTGGCTTTAAACACTGCCCCTGCCAATGGACCAACGAGAACACCATTCCAAACCATTCTAGAAACTTCTAGCTTAGTCCATCACAAGAATCCAGCTGGGGAGGGACCAGTCGTGAGTATCAATTCGCAATATTATTAACCATATTTTTTTATAATTTTGAGGTGCGATTGTGGCTACTCATAGTGGCTGAATAAATAAAAAGTTTCACCTCAAAATCTATATGTGACTAACTCATAATGTGAAGTTTTGTCTGTAAATTTATTAAGCAAGATGCAAGACATATTTAAAACTGATAATATTAGGTAATTAGTTATAAATAATATAGAAGAGCATTTTCATATACTGTGGTTGTGATACGTTTTAATATTTTTCTTTCATTTACATAGTTACGTCTAGCGGCGTTAGAAGAGCCACGCAATGGTGACATGCATGGCGTAGGCAGCACCAATTATGACTGTCAGAGAGAAGCTCAGAAAGCTGGTATCGACGGCACTTATAGAGTTTTCCTGACTTCCCGGTAAGTTTGAAGATCTTTGTTCCCAACGCATGTTTTGTTTCTTAACGAAATTATATAAGTGCCCAGAAGGTGAAAATTCAAACCTAATTCTGTCACTAAGCAGTAATGTGAGAAAAATTAAGGCTCATGGTGAAATTACAGGAACATGGGGCTTGTTAACTTATATCTCAGCTCCGAATGGTTACTGCAAGTGGCACACAACATGTTTGTCCCGTCACTTACTACATAGGGCGCACTATAAGTTTCCGGAACTGGCCACTTACATAAGCAATATTTAAAAAGTAATTACAACATTTGAAAATGGAACTCTTTGGCTGTAGAATAGAGTTTGTTTCATCTGACTGTCACTTGTTTTTACATTGTGGCGTCATTTTAGAAATTGGTTATCTACATCACCATGGATTTAACTCGTGAAAATTTTCGTAGTATGATTTTCTAAGACTTTAAGTGTAGTAAAACAGCTCAGCAGAGCTCCGCTCGGCTTTAAACTGCTTTTCGCGATGAAGCACCATACAGGACGATTATTTATAGCTGATATGCAGAATTCAAATGCGGTCGTGTGAATCTCAATGACGAATTTGTGATGGTCGCCCGTCTACTGCTGTGAACAACAAAAACATCGATGCTGTACGCCGCATGATCAAAACAGACAGGCATGTGACATGCCATGAGATTCGGGCATCTTTAGGCATAGGTATGAGTCAAATACAATCAATACTACACAAACATTTGGGTGTGACAAAGCTGTGCTCTCGGTGGATCCCACACAATTTGGCTTAGGCTCAAAAAACGGATCGCGTCACTTGGTGCAATGCCATGCTTACCAGATTCAACAAAGGGGCGTCAAATTCAGTGTGGGATATAGTAACAGGTGATGAAACATGGATGTATAGTTACGATTCTAAAACAAAGCAATAATCGAGCGTATGGGTATTTCGAGATGAGCCGAAAACCAACCAAAGTGGCGCGCGTTGGAAGTGCCTCGAAGCGGATGATTGCTTCTTCTTTTAATAAAACTGGACACGTGGCTACTGTTGCTTTGGAGAATCGTACCGTGAATAGTGATTGGTACACGACCATTTGTTTGCCGGAAGTTATTGACAAACTCCGTAAAAATAACCGTAAACGCCGTATCATCTTGCACCACGATAATGCCAGTTCTCACACGGCCAGACAGATAAATGAATTTTTGAAGGTGAACAACGTTGACCTTATGAGCCATCCCGCGTACAGTCGCGACCTGGACCTTGTGACTTTTATTTATTTCCAAAAATTAAGAACCAGTTACGCAGTTAACGATTTTCATCAGCCGAAGAGGTTGTCGAAGAGTATAAAAAATATGTTTCAGAGAATGTCACGGAGGAGTGGCATAAATGTTTTCAAATGAAAAAGTGCATTAACGCCAACGGAGAATATTTTGAGGAGCAATAATTTATTTCTGACCATTTATAGTATTTTTTCTTATTCATTCCGGAAACTTATAGTGCGCCACACGTATCGTAAAAAAAAGAAATAAAAAAATACTCAAATTTTAACGCCGTATTTTGTCTTAACTTATTTACTAGGAGTCGCTCTCAAAAAATATAAAAAAAGTGTAATATAACAGGATAACTTTAGTTATTTAGTCAAAGAGAAGTGTTGGATTTTTTTACCGCTTATATCTGAAACTATGGTAACATTTTAGAAGACCATATTTGTTTGAAAAAAAAAACAGAATTAGGCGGTAATTTAAAATTTCTGCGATTAATAATTTTTCTTTTAAAGACCCATTAAAGACCATTCAAATTCAGCAAAATTAACATAACAAACATATCCATTTTTTTGTTTTTTTCACCTGTGAACTGATTTTATAAGAAATCGTTCCTTTGGTATTTAATAAAGCCACATATGATCGTACCTACGTAAAAACTTCTTTTATCACATGATAATATAAAAATGATACAAACTACATGAATTAAATTATATATGAAATTTTATAAACTCTCTTATATAAACATAAAAAAATTCCGACAAACATTGGTTATTGGGTATTCAAACATTTGGGTAGACAATTAATTTTTTCGAGTGCAATAACGTGCCAGTGTCATGTGTATTATTAAACAAGGATACGATATAGGGACCCATAAGAAAGTAAAACGTGTCAATATCAAAATAATGTAAACATAAAAGGATCGAAAAAAAATTGTATATAATAAGGGAAAGTATGGGATATTGGACCGGCAACTAAATAGGACCACCCTCATATTTCAAAAAGTATTTTTCTTGAAGTCCAAATTAATCCAAGGCCAAATTACATAACCAGTCGGCTAAATTGCAATAAAGCTCGGACCTGACATTTTGGTGATTTTTCCAATTTTTTTAGATGTCTATCATATAAAGGACGTGTGTAAAAATCTTAAAAATATGTATTTAAAACGCTTTAGAAAAAAAAATGGTCGTAAATACCAGACTTTCCCCTGATTAGTTAACTAAAACATTTTATATAAGTTTTAACCACTCATAATGTATACGATAAGCAACTACGACATTTTAATTTTAACAGTAGTTTCATGTAAATTTAGAAATTAAAATAAATCTGGGTCATCATCCTAATAATAATTGTGAGGCAATTTGAACTCCTATCTTACTGGGCGTACCAGTTAGAAATATAATATTATTTTTGTAAACGATTTATATCTGAATAGATATAAAACATTTTTATATTTTTGTTGGCCTAAAACACGTGAAGGAAGTGGCAAATACAACTCGCAGTTAATTATCTGATTGAACGTAAACGCAATTTCCCTGAAATTGAAACAATAAACTCCGGTATATTTTGAAAGTAGGAAAATGTTTTGACGCTTTATTCGTAAGAATCTATACAACCTCAAATGGCTTTGGTTGATTCCGCATAACAGTAAGAGTGTTAAATCAACCACTTTGGAAAAAATATATACTAAAATTGTGGATAAATACTGATAACTATAAGGTTTCTAAACACGATTCCTAAAGATGTTTACGGTGGAAAAAAAAACACAAACTTACTTCGAAATATTACAGGAAAACCGCTGTATTCAATAGGTACTATAACATATACCAAGTA